AGGCTTCTCAACAAATAGCAGTTCTGGAGTCTAGAAACCAATGGAAGAGTGCCTTCAAAATTCTGAGGGAAAAGAAATTTCCAGCCTAGAATTCTCCATCTAGCAAAGGTGGAAGTAAAAAAAAGACAACTATGCAAGAATTCAGAGTACTCTCCTCCCATGCACTCTTCCTCAGGAAGCTGTCAGAGAACGTGTACCAACCACCAAAAGAGAGTAAAGCCAGGAAGAGGGAGCATTGGATTCAGGATGCAAGGGCTCCAAGGATGCAAGAGAGAGTGTTAAAAAGGTAAACCGAGGCATATTAAACATTTTAAGAGTTTATTTGAGCAAAAAAATTGATTCAAATCTGGCAGCACCAAACCAGAAGTAGTTAGGAATGCTCCCCCAACAGGAGTCTGGGGAAAGACAGATATAGGAAGAGCAGAGGCAAAGAAAGGAAATTATTTAACTCACTGTAACTTAAAGCCTAGTTGGCTGTTTGTGACTGGTTGTCGTTAGTATTTTGATTTCATAACCTTGTAAAAGCTTAGATTTTGGTTGGCTTCCTTGGGCTACCACAGCATTAGAGCCACCTCAGTCTAATGGCCTCCTTCTTTAATTAATTTAACAGGAATGAAAAGAAACTCTGGGTTCCCAGGATCTGTGGGAAGGAAATTCCCAAGGTCTGTGTAGTAACCCTAGAAAGCAAACGTTCCAGATGGGTTGGAAACCTCTAATAGAATTCTTGATATGATATAACATGTTGAGAGATTACAGATCTGAGGAGTTGAATTCATGGTAAACACAAGAAAATTAAGCCAACAAAGACATCAAGACAACAGAAAATATATCCTGTAGAAAAGGCAGGTAATCATGCCATGCAACATGGCTTGTCTTCTAATACTGTTTGCAGTCATATTAAAGTAAATGCTAAATATCGATTTTACAAAAAACGACAAAACTGTATTGGAAGAATAGGGGAACAAGAACTGTGTCTGAATATGGTGGTGATGTAGAGGCGGAAGAGAACTGAATTCTCATCTTTCATAACAGAAAGAGGCAGCATGCGAGATTTTTTCTTTTTTTAGTTGCTGCATGCAAACTCTTAGTTGCGGCATGTGGGATCTAGTTCCCTGACCAGGGATCGAACCCGGGCCCCCTGCACTGGGAGTGTGGAGTCTTAGCCACTGGACCACCAGGGAAGTCCCCCCATCTCCCCTTTTTATCCAGCTTTTCTCCAGGATTTCATGGCCAGTGCCCAGAGCAGACGTGCCTAGCTCATAGTTGGTGTTCAATGAGTATGTGTTCGATGGATGACTCTGTGAACTTCAGTTCAATGGATTTCACAGAATTGTTCAATGGAGAACTCCAAGCAAATTCAAAGCACTGAGCGAGTGCTAATGTATTCTCGCTCAAAGGGTCACAAAGCCCTCGGAGGTGAGGCAAGTCAGGAAGTGAGATCCTTCCAATGAGGACAGTGGCAAATTAGAGATGGAATGCTCCATCTGAAGGAGAGAGTGGGAAAGTGAGTTCAATGTTGCTGGATAATCATCATAATAAACACTTATGTACTGTATTGTATGCGCACTGCTCCAGTCACTTTACATAGAAAAATTCAATCCTTACAACAAAAACTGTATGAGATCAGCACTGTTGTTCTTTACCACCGTTTCACAGACCAGGAAACTAAGGTGTCTGAACACTATGTGCTCAGGCATACACGGCTTATATGTGGAAGGGGCAGGATTTGGAACCCAAGCATTCTGGCTGCCAAATCTTGCCTCTTCATCACTCTACCATATTGCCTCTCTAATTTTTTAAAAGAAGCTGTACATCTGTATGAAATCTGCTACTTTTTAAATGTTGGCAACTAATTTTTTAAAGCACTACAAGTCAAGCAAAGCATGCTTGGTTTGTACCTTCCTCAGAGAAAATCAAAACATGGTGCTAACCTAAGTGTCCATTGACAAATGAATGGATAAAGATGTGGCACATATATACAGTGGAATATTACTCAGCCATAAAAAGAAACGAAATTGAGTTATTTGTAGTGAGGTGGATGGACCTAGAGCCTGTCATACAGAGTGAAGTAAGTCAGAAAGAGAAAAACAAATACTGTATGCTAACACATATATATGGAATCTAAAAAAAAAAAAGGTCATGAAGAACCTAGGGGCAAGATGGGAATAAAGATGCAGACCTACTAGAGAATGGACTTGAGGACACGGGGAGGGGGAAGGGTAAGCTGGGACAAAGTGAGAGAGTGGCATGGACATATATACACTACCAAATGTAAAACAGAGAGCTAGTGGGAAGCAGCCGCATAGCACTGGGAGATTAGCTTGGTGCTTTGTGTCCACCTAGAGGGGTGGGATAGGGAGGGTGGGAGGGAAACGCAAGAGGGAGGAGATATGGGGATATATGTATATGTATAGCTGATTCACTTTGTTATACAGCCGAAACTAACACACTATTGTAAAGCAATTATACTCCAATAAATATGTTAATAAATAAATAAATAATATAGGCTAAAATAAACATGGTGCTAGGTCTATTCACAATAGCCAAGACATGGAAACAATCTAAATGTCCATCGACAAATGAATGAATAAAGAAGATGTGGTACATATATACAATGAAATACTACTCGGCCATAAAAAAGAATGAAATAATGCCATTTGCAGCAACGTGGATGGACCTAGAGATTATCATACTAAATGAAGTAAGTCAGAAAGAGAAAGACAAATAACATATACTATCACTTATGTGTGGAATCTAAAATATGACACAAATGCACTTATTTATGAAACAGAAACGACTCAGATATAAAGAACAGACTTGTGGTTGTCAAGGGGAAGGGGAGTGGGGGAGGGATGGATTGGGAAGTTGGGGTTAGCAGATGTAAACTGTTATATATAGAATGGATAACCCCAAGTTCCTACTGTATAGCACAGAGAACTATATTCAATATCCTATGATAATCCATAATGGAAAAGAATATAAAGAAAGAATGTATATATATGTATAACTGAGTCACTTTGCTGTACAGCAGAAATTAACATAACATTGTAACTCAACTATACTTCAATTAAAAAATTTTTTAAAAGAAAAATAAAATAAAACATGGTGCCAGGGTGTGCAAACCATGACTGAGCCCTCGAAGCCCCAAAGGCATGGCCACATTTAATGTGCCTGGTAAGCATGGTAGTGATAGTGTCAGGAGCTCAACTTCTGGGCTCAACTTCATCACTCCAGTGGGCATCCACCCTGATGAACCTTTCAGACCTCAAGTATGGACTTGATTAAAGGAGAAAGAGAAGAATGTAGTAAACATGAAATGGGCACCATACATGTCTGTAGACCATTAGAAGTTTCACACCCCTCTGCAAAGCTGTGTGGGTTTGTCCAGAGGTCAGTGTTATTTTCCTCTGTTAGGATGACAGAGATGGGTTTGATGTATTTCGTTGCCTATACTGTTTTGTTTTAGTCCATTTCAATGGAAAATGAATTTTTTTAAAAACCAAGGGAAACATTGAGTGCTCTGTGATGGTTACTAAAGCTTGGAAAAATATCGTGTAAAGTTATTGGCAGATGCTAGGAAAGTTGTATTTGCTGATTATAACAAAGTTTTTGTTTTTGTGCCCTGTGCCCAGAACGATTTGCTGTTCTGAAATGTAATATGAGTAAAACCGCTGGATGTTTATATTTCTGTAGTGGAATTATATCAAATCACTGAGTGGAGGTTTAAATTATGAATTAATTGTAGTGAACAGAATGTTTTGCATTCTTTGCTAGAAGCTAAGAATAGTGATTGGATGAAGTCCCATTAACATTTACTGTGGACTAACTCGGTGGGTAAGGTATTGATATATGTGTTTGCTTTTTCTTTCAATGATGTGTTGCGATATTAAACCATCTGTTCTTGTGCATAAACATTTTCCTGGGATTCAAATGGGATTATGGGATATGATATGGTTCTATGATTATTATGGGGTGATCAGACTGTTTATAATAAAATCTTACATTAGGCGCCTTTTAATGATCCTTAAAAAGAAATCACTCCAGGCTTCAGGTTGGTAAAACATCTCCTATTGGAGGCAAATTGTTGTTTATAAATGTTGGTATGTTCATTTTAATTATTGAACTCCTAAATTAAATGTAAACTTTCTAGGTCAAGATGATATTTTTGTACTTAAATATGGACTATAGTTCATTTTGAGGATTAAGTCTAAGTAGACTCATTCCTAATGGCTTTTCATTATTATTATTCCATTATCACCAAAGGGAAATATTCCTAAGAAAATTTATAAAGCCCAAAACTGACCACTGTGCAGGATAATAGATTTATCTATAAACTCAATAAAAGTTACATGTACATGTTTAAATATGAATATATATATAAGTATAAATAAATAGCATCAGATTTCTGAACATTTCAGAGCATTCTAGGTATGAATTTGTGAGCAAAATTTTAATATTTGCAGTCTATCTAGCAAAAGATATCCTTCTGGGGAAAAAAAAAAACTTACATTAGTGATTCTCATCCACTTTCCCACCCAGTACACTTGAGTAATATGGCAGGATCCCATGAAGAGTGGTGTCTCCTCACTGGTAAGGAGTGAAAGAATGGGTAGGAGAAGGGATCACATGTAAGTACCACTAAGGGGAGCCCCTAATTGCTTTTAATACACTTTTCTGTTGGACTCTTCACTCTTCACCTCCCTCTCTTGAGAATCACAGATTGAAATAGATTTAATCCAGATGGGCAGCTTTTCAATTGCTTTCTCCAATTGCAGATTTAAAATAACTTTGCTTTAGTTTTCAAGTTTATGAGTACTTTAACACAAACATATTTTTATACCAAGAAGGGGTAATATGCGCATTTTTAAATTCATTTGCTGATTCTCTTTGCTTTGCATACAAACTGTACTTGCATTAATGGCTGCTATACAGTGAGACCTGTACAGTAGTGGGTGAATCGTGGATATAAAGATGTGACTATTCTATCTTCATTATTACAGCACCATCCAGTAGAAAACCAGGAGACCCCCTGGTCATATCAGATATCAAGAAAGGCAGTGTGGCACACAGGTAAGAAAGATGGATTTACTGATTCATCCCAAGGTATTTCTTAATTACAGCAGAAATGACCTCTTCCACACCCAAGACAACCTTGCTAATAGGTCATGGTATTCTCAGTATTTTCCAGGCAACCACGATTAATCGATTCTATTTTTGACATCCCTAATGTCAATGACTATGTAGAGCTCTCCCCCGGTGTCAGTTTATTTCTGCACCCAGTGCAGACAACAATCACATGAAAATGTTTTTTAGGGTCATTCATGAGTCCAACATAGCCTCTCCTTCACTGATCATCTTCCATCCTTCATTTTTCCCACTAAAAAACTGAAAGTGGCCCCAATGATGAGAGTCACCCCACATGGAGATAATAGCTTATGGGAGAGTTTTGCTAGATGCCAGGATGTCCTCCCTAGTCAAGCCAGGTCCTTGAGCCTTAAGCAGTGTTTATGTATCCTATTTGGTTCATAGACCACAAAAATCAGGGAGCCTCAAACTTTCAATTTCACAGATCAAAAGTATTTTTAAGTGATTAGGAATATTGATGTAAGACTGTTAACTTTCTTTTTATTTTCCAGTTAAGAACTTAAAAAATCCCATCTGTTATCACAGTCATTTCATTAAAGAAATATTTTAACACTCAAAAAGTAGGAAGGACATTGTATGAACTTAGGTATATAGGTATAGGCTCAGATACTGTGACAAGGAGACATAAACGGAGTGGATCCAACAGGACAGAAGTTTGTCTCTCATACAGCAGTTGGCAGGTAGACAGGCAACGCAGGGCTGGAGAAGCAGCTCTGCCGTCCTCTCCAGCTTCTCCAGTCATTGTGATTTTCCAGCCATAGAAGGGAGGTGGGGTGGTGCAGAAAGAGTCTGGGGTGTGTGTCTTTAGGGGATGACCCAGAAGAAGGAAGGGAGAATGGATTCTGGGAAGCAATTAGCAATCTCGCTCACAGACATAATGCATAAAGGATGGTTCTTACCAAAACATAACCTTCCTTACAGATATGTGTGCATATACATACAGAAGCACCTGCAAGCACATATCCCTTCTCATTGTTTTTCTCATCTCATGATGGACCTTTAAAAACTTTCAAGACCTGAAGCAGTCCGTAACCAGTATTAGACTCTCAATGGCCACCTTCCAGATAGCATCCAATTCCCCTTTTCTCCCTACTGCAGCCATAGTGAGTTCCCCAGTGCAGGTGGAAATAGCAGAGACACCAGGACTCAGACCTCCCCTAAGGCCATCCCACCTTGACTCGCCTCACTCCCTGTATCCTCTCCTAGTATCTGGACTGCCCAGGACCAAAAGTGATGCAACAATCTGGAGAAGCATAAGGACACCCGGGCTGTGTAAACCTGGGCCCATTACCCCCTTCCTGGAAACCTTAGAATTCCTGAGTGACGCTTATATGGTTGTCCTGGTCTAATTGAAGAAAGCAGAAGAAAAATATTTTTTAATACTCTGCGATTTAATGTCACGGCAGCCATCCAAATTAAGACTGGAGAAAGGGTATTTGTCAATAAAATGCAGTTTTAAAAGTTGAAGAATCTTATTTCTTCTAAAGACTACCATAATGCTGCTTTGCGCTAAATGCCTCTTAAATGGCCTGGTTAAGTGCTCATCATTAATCATGCATTTGCTATGCCTTTACTATCAGAACGGGAACCCTGGAACTTGGGGATAAATTACTTGCCATAGATAACATCAGGCTGGACAACTGTTCCATGGAAGATGCAGTTCAGATCCTTCAGCAGTGTGAAGACTTGGTGAAGCTGAAAATCCGCAAAGATGAAGATAATTCAGGTATTGATAACCTCCTTAGTTAAGACTGATTTCTCTAACTGCCCATCTGTCACCAAAGATATTAGATCTTGGTGTTTTACATACAACAGCTGGCTAGTGACATTGCAGCAGTGTTTTTTGTAGTTAAGAGGGTCTTTAAATTGGGCGTTGAGAGTGTAGTATGAATTTTAAATGATGGTGCTTTTAAATGGTATAATTAAGGTATTTTCATTATATAAACATTGTAGCTACATTAAAATAACTTTAAAGATGAAAACTTAATCGTCACCTGATACCACCCTAATACAATAGAACTGGTCATTTTCTAGTTGATATTATGTTACGTAATTATAACCACAGTGCATGTTCTCTTGTTTCCTGAGCTTTATAAACATGCTACCATTTTACAAACCCTTAATAGCTATCATTTGAATTTACTGCCCGTAATGTATTTACCATTCTTTTCTTCTTACTTAGATTGCTCCCAGTTGTCTTATTACTGTAGGTGGCACAATAACCGATATTTTGTATGCGTGGATATCTTTATTCAACGTTTTTTCTTTTGAATTATTTCCTTAGGAAATATTCCTAAAAGTAGGGTGACTGAGTCAAAATAAAAAGGGAATTTTTATGATTTCGGATGAGTCTTGTACCATGTTGCTTTCTAAAAGGGCTGTATCCATTGTTGGTGCTTCCAGTAATGTGCGAATACAGGAGAGCGGTGCCTCTCAAACTTGAGAAGGCCTCAGAATCACCGGAAGAGCTCAGTTAAAACACAGTTCCTGAGCGCTCACCCTAGGTGAGGCCTGAGACTGTCATTTCTAACAAACTTCATCATGATGCTGCTGTGGGCCAAGACCCAGCAATCTGAGTCGCCCCGCAGCAGACGCCCTTTTATCTGATTTTGATAAGAACCCAAGCTAACTGAAAAAAGTTCATGAATTGAAAGAGTCAACTAATGTGGGGATTTATAGAAAGTGACACGTATCTATAACATAAACATTTAACTTAAAAATGTGCCGATCTTATGGGTGAAGCCAGTACTTTCTGCTGATTGTTAGTTACAAGCCTTTTGACTTGTTTGCCTGAGTCATACCCATAACACACAGTTTATGACTTCCAGGTTTGGTTTTTGTGTGTTGTTTTGCTTTAATGCAGTGAGAATTTAAATAATTTAAAGCAATCTGAATGCTTACTCCATCTAGATTTTTATTTCCCCAATGTTTTCAAGGTTTTCCTCTATGTAATTAACTGTTGATTTCTTGCCTAATAATCCCCCTTATTGAATCTTTCCAAAGCATTTGATTTTTTCATAGATCCAGTATACTCATATTTCATAGGTTATGTAAGATTCATTAAATTACGTCGTTACAATAACAAGTACAACTGGCATAAACAGGATTGGGAATAATCATAATTGACTCTAAACTTTTAAGCTTTTGACTCAATTGGTAGCAGGAACAGAGGTACACGGGGTACTGCAGAGGGAAACCTGTTATTCTGGAACATTCAGTGGCATTGGTCAGTATATTTTACAAAGAGGATGGAGAGTCACAATTAATCCAGTAAATTGGTTAGAGGGAGATTGATTAAGAGAGTTTCTACTGAATATAGTTTCATCCCAACCAATAATGAGCAGTTGTCAATGTCCTGGAATCTCCTGGAATCTAATCCTCTAGATCCAGAGTTCGTGGTCATGTCAAGCCTTGTGTTTGTGATTCCTATTCAAAGTCAAAACAAGTTGGTAGTTACATCGATCAGTACAGCTGGTAAAGATGATTATATCCAAGTATACTTTATAATGAACGTTTAAAAATATGCATAGATTTCTACTAGTTATTTCCCAAGCAACTGATTTTCCACACCAACACTTGCATTTCTCTCCTAAAAAGCATGCATTTTCTTTGGGGGATTTATTTTAAAAGAAGGATAAAGCCTCTAACGTCAGACTGGGTTCTGTCCTAGTAAAGAGGCAAAGCCCTGTGGAGAAACCCATTTTGCATGATTTGCCAAGCTAAGCAGATCTCAGCTATCTTCCTTGCAGAGTGAAGAAGCCAAGCCAGAGATGAATATGTATGGTGCTTGTGGTTGGCGATGTTCCCAGTTCCAAAGCCAGGCTGTGCAGACACACTGGGGGCAGTTTCAGAAACAACAAGCTGAGCACTTGGAGAGCCAGATCTTACTTTCAGTTGCTTCTTTCCTTTGGCTCATTTTTCCCCTTTAGACCCTTCCCCCTACAATCCCTATGCCTAATACTATGGTAATGATCATGCTTGTTAGGGGGTTTTTTTCTAATTTTAAGAGGTCTAATTTTTAAAATCTTAAATCCTTCCATTGAAAACCATGCACCTACCCAAAATAAGACTGTAAATATAGGTGCAAGAGACATATTTACCCAAACCAGATTTTCTCAAGTTGTCATATTAAAATATATACCCACTTAGACACATTTTTATAACAGACCATTATTTGAAAATTATCATCTGATCATCGATTTGGAAGAATTTGAGTGTTTCTGTATCCTCTTCCCCCATGAGAATATAAGTATAATTTGAGTAACTGAATCCTTTTTTATTCAGAGCTAAGCAAGGTGAGGGATTATTCAAAATGTAAAACCTGGATATAGACTAGTTCAAGGCCAACTATGTAGACATAAAGAGCACACACTTTTTTTTTTTTTTTTTTTTTTGCGGTACGCGGGCCTCTCACTGCTGTGGCCTCTCCTGTCGCGGAGCACAGGCTCCGGAGGCGCAGGCCCAGCGGCCATGGCTCACAGGCCCAGGCGCTCCGCGGCATGTGGGATCCTCCCGGACCGGGGCACGAACTCGTGTCCCCTGCATCAGCAGGCGGACTCTCAACCACTGCGCCACCAGGGAAGCCCAGAGCACACATTTTTAAATCCACCTCTACCACATTTGAGCTGTGTCAGTTTGGGCAAGTTACTTAACCTGCCTGAGATTCAGTACCATTTTCAGTAATGTGCACAAAATAATACCCACCTCGGGGAGCTGTTGTAGCTTGTTGAGAGAGAGATTTCCTGGCACAATCAATATTCAGTAACTGGGAACTATTTTTATTATTATTGCATCCTGACACGCCTTTCCCCACATTAGTTCTGATCCTTGGTCAAGATATAAATGAGTGGGAAATAAGCATTATTCATGACAACAGTCACTGATTTTGGAAGTTTGATACCTTAATCTGAAATTAAGCTGGTGATTTAAATTGTTGCCATCCTTTGTCTCTGTATTTTAGAATGGTAATACTCGGTATATATGCTTCACTCCCTAAAATATTGCTTATATTAATATTGGACTTTCTGTACCAGTAGACTTCAGGAGTCTTCCAGTTCTTTCCTGTACCAGTAGACTTCAGGAGTCTTCCAGTTCTTTCCTTAAGTGTCTGCTCCTCTCCATCCTTGGTTCTCTGATCAGTTACAGAAAGTTTATAACCATACTTGATATAACTTGGTTTCCTAAGCTAGTAATACTGGAATTGAGTTTAACAGATGTTGCTTCAAAATGTAAGCCTGTCTTCCAGCTACAATAATTTTATTGCTCTGCCTTGTACTTTAAGGAGATGGTAGAACTATTCTCAAACGTTGTTAAAGTCTTTGTTTTTCATTCAGTCACGCCATCAGCATTTATTTAGTGTCTGGAAGGTACTAGGGACTGCCAGTTCTTAGATTAAAAAGGACACACAATCTCTGCCCTTAAATCAGTCACCATGTTCTAGGAGAAACGGAAGAAAATAATCAACAGTATTATGAATGTTCTAGGTGTGTGCACAAAACGTTAAGAGAACGTGAAGGCACCCATTTGAGAATGGGGAGCTCAAGGAAATGCTTCTAACAACCTTGGTCTTGAAAGTATTTGGGAGGTGTTGTTAAAATTAACCAGAGGAAAAGTATGAGCCAAAGGAAGTCAGAGAGAGCGGCACATCCTAGTAGCAGGTATAGCTGAAGCAAAAAGTTTGTGTAAGGACTCAGTAGTGGGTGAATAGATGGATACACTGAAGCCAGATCATTATGGTCCTTCTAACTATGTTAAAAAATTTGAACTTTACCCCAGAAGCCAATGAGGAGCCATTAAAAGACAAAAAGCAGGGGAACGAGGCCAGGGTATTTGGCCTGTGACCACTGGTTGTGGTCACTTACTGAAGTAATGAAGAGGCATTCAAGAGAGTCTGCATTAACTCTGTTTCTAGTGCTGGCTGGGGGAAGCAGTAAAATAAAATGACTAAGAACACAAGGCTGACTTCACAACTGACAAGCTGGGAAACTTCGGAAAATTAACTTCTCTGGGCACCAGTGCCCTCATCCGCAATGTCCATTGAATGCGTCCTGAACGCGGCAGTTTTAAGGATCAAAGGAGGCAATATATTGATATTTAAGCACTCAGCGATAATGAATGGCACCAAGTAAGGCCCAGTGAATGCAGACTATCAACAGCCATTATTAGGATGCTTTTTAAATTAATTTTAGGGCTTCCCTGGTGGCGCAGTGGTTGAGAGTCCGCCTGCCGATGCAGGGGACACGGGTTCGTGCCCCGGTTCGGGAAGATCCCACATGCCGCAGAGCGGCTGGGCCCGTGAGCCATGGCCGCTGAGCCTGCGCGTCCAGAGCCTGTGCTCTGCGACAGGAGAGGCCACAGCAGTGAGAGGCCCGCGTACCGCAAAAAAAAAAAAATTAAATTAATTTTAGCTTTATTTTACTATGGCCAAATCTTTTGGAACACCTGGGATTGTAGGGAAGCCCCCATCCCCCATATTCAGTGGCCATTCTCTCTAGAGGAGCTTTTACATCTGTCATCTTTCGTTACCACGGGAACATAAATCGAGTACAGCCAGTCGGTGCTTGTCTGGGTCCAAGCCTCTAGAACCATGGCTGTTACCTAATCCCCAGGCCCTCAGAGACGCAAGATCTATTGCTTGAAATAAGATCTTGACTGCATCTAGATCCAACGTAGCTGAAGAGGGGAGGGTTTGGAGATCTGAGAAAGAACCCTGAAGCAAAGGAGAGA